GCTCTGAGAGAACTGTCCTTGAGAGAAAAGCTCTGAGAGAACTATGGCTTGCCCAGGGTCATCCAGCAGCCGCAAGTGGAGGAGTGGGGAATCAAACCCGGTTCTCTCAGATTAGAGTCTGCGCACTTAACCACTACAGCTCAAAACCATATTCAGATACCCCGGGGCAATGCCGTACTGACTACAAAGTCACCCCCGAACAGCCATAAATCTATGCAGAAGGTACCATAAAACCCGATGATCGAAGGAAGCGAAAGCGACATGCAACGCAGAGGGGAATTTCTGTCCCAAGGTGGGTTTCGTAAAACAACGGAGGGAAAAGCCAATGAAGAATCGCCCTAAGTTAGTTTCACAGCAGAGCAAAAATTGAACCCAGGCCCCCGATCTTTCTGGCCCAAAGAGAGCCAGTTTGGTGTAATGGTTAAGTGTGCGGACACTAATCTGAAAGAACTGGGTTTGATTCCCCACTCCTTCACTTGCACCTGCTGATGTGACCTTGGGTCAGTCGCAAGCTCTAGCACAGCTGTCCTTGAAAAAGAGCAGTTTGTGTCAGAGTTCTCTCAGCCCCACCCACCTCACAGGGTGTCTGTTGTGGGGAGGGGAAGGGAAAGGGGTTTGTAAGCCGCTCTGAGACTCCTTTGGGTAGTGAAGGGCGGGGTATAAATCCAATCTCCTCCTCCTCCTCCTCCTCCTCCTCCTCCTCCTCCTCTACTTACAGAGGACACTATTACACATCCTAAATAATGCTGTTTCAATCAACTTCAGGAACCGTCTGCAAGTGGACCCTGCCATCTCACACAGCAAAATCCGGTTGCAAAGTGCATTGAAAGCGGATTGATAGTGCATTATTTAGAGTGTGTGAAAGCACAGGTTTCTGTTATATTTGGGGAGGGCTTCCTCACCTGGACAGCTGCCGAGTGCACTTCCTCACTGGGCGATCCTTGGCATCCCAACCTTGGCAAAGGCACCGACAAAACCTCTCTGGCCAGTCGCAGAAATTGCTTCCTTCAGCTTGGGCCAGACAAAGACGAAAAGCAGCGTCCCTTCCTCACTGCACGGTAGAGACGAGCGAAATCAGCTTTTTTGTTCCCCTGGTTGTGACGTGCCCGGAGGATCCGCCGGGCAATTAAGACCGTGCAGAAGAGGCGTGCCCCCCCCCCAGCCTTGCCCGAGCCAAAGGGAGAGCGTGAAAAGAGAGAAAAAGGGAGAAGCGCCTGACGCAGCGCAAACTGTCCCCGGGGGACAGCTTAGAGGCAGCGGCCCATCTGGAAACCCGATTGGTATCCGGTGGGAGCAATTCGGTTGATGGAGAGATTTGCAAAAGAAATGAGTCTTAAATGAGGAAATTATGTGTGGATTCACCAGTGTATTGGAGGGAGGGGATTTCTAGCCCCCTCCCCTGTAAGGTCCGTACTATAAGGACCTAAGAAGAGCCCTGCTGGATCAGAACAATGGTCCATCTAGTCCAGCCTCCTGTCTCACACAGGGGCCAACCAGGTCCTCTGGAGAGCCAACAACAGGGCAGAGGGGCCGAGGCCTTCCCCTGATAGGAACCTCAGAAGAGTCCTGCTGGGTCAGACCAGTGAGGGTCCATCTAGTCCAGCATCCTCTCCCACACAGGGGCCAGTCAGTTCCTCTGGAGGGCCAACAACAGGGCAGAGAGGCCGAGGCCTTCCCCTGAGGAGACCCTCAGAAGAGCCCTGCTGGGTCACACCAGTGAGGGTCCATCTAGCCCAGGCTCCTGTCTCACACAGTGGCCAGCCAGTTCCTCTGGAGGGCCGACAACAGGGCAGAGAGGCCGAGGCCTTCCCCTGATAGGAACCTCAGAAGAGCCCTGCTGAATCTGACCAGGGGTCCGACTAGTCCAGCCTCCTGTCTCACACAGGGGCCAACCAGTTCCTCTGGAGGGCCAACAACAGAGCAGAGAGGCCGAGGCCTTCCCCTGAGAAGAACCACAGAAGAGCCCTGCTGGATCAGACCAGTGAGGGTCCCTCTAGTCCAGCCTCTTGTCTCACACAGGGGCCAGCCAGTTCCTCTGGAGGGCCAACAGCAGGGCATGGAGGCCGAAATCTCCTGACATTGCCTCCTGGCCCTGGGATTCAGCGGCTTAGTGGAGGTTCCCCTCAGTCACCATGGCTACTAGCCACTGATAGATCTATCCTCCATGAATCTATCTAATTCCCTTTTAAAGCTGTTCCTTCTTGTGGCCATCACGACATCCTCTGGCAGCGAATGCCACGTTGTGATCACGTGTGTGTAATGGAGTATTTCCTTTTGTCCGTCCTGAACCTCCTGCCCATCAGCTTCTTTGGATGCTCTCGAGTTCTAGTGTTTCCAGAGAGGGATAAAAGAATGTCTCTTTGTCAACACACTCCTCCCCGTGCATACTTTTATAAACCTCTATCATGTCCTCCCCCCCATTTGTCTCAGATGGAGGAGGAGGAGATTGGATTTATACCCCACCCTTCACTCGGAGTCTCAGAGTGGTTTACAATCACCTTCCCTTCCCCCTCCCCACAACAGACACCCTGTGAGGGAGGTGGGGCTGAGAGAGCTCTTTCCAGAAGTGTCCTTGAGGGGACAGCTCCGAGAGAACTTGTGACTGACCCAAGGTCACACCAGCAGCTCCATGTGGAGGAGAGGGGAATCAAACCCGATTCTCCCAGATGAGAGTCCGCCACACCACATTGGCTCTTCAGCCTTTCCTCATCGGGAAGTTGCTCCAACCCCCTCATCCTCTTGGTTGCCCTTCTGCCCCTCCCCCCCCCCCCTCTGCAGTGTCCCTTTTGAGATACGGTGGCCAGAACTGGAGACAGTACTCCAAATGAGGCCACGCCACAGATCTATACAGGGGTATTTATCCTCCAAACTGGGACGTCACCAGCTCTCCTAGGGAGATGAGCGTACCAGATTTTCAGGTGAGGTTTCCAGTGGAAAGGATCTGGCTTCCCCATGAATATGCCACCTTTGCACCCCCCCTAATTGACCCAAGGCAGTTCCACGAAAGAGGGCACAGACAGTGAGAACATAGCACGAAAATGAGCCTAGGAGACCTACAGGTCTAAAGGGCCACCCCACGAAACTGACAGCATTCCCCTGATCCAGGAAGTTAGTAACTTCCTCCAAAAAAGAGATAAGGTTAGTCAGACATGACTTGTCCTTGAGAGACCCATGCTGCCTCTTAGTAATCATAGACGTCCCTTCTAAATCACGGCCTTCTGAATGTGCTGCCCTGCAAATGATTGGCGGCTGCTTCTCCACGCGTATCCTCTGCTGCGGCTCCTGCGCTGGGGAAAGGACTGCCTGAGGAGGCCAGGAAGGGTGCCACACTTTGGTGTGGTGGTTAAGTGTGTGGACTCTAATCTGGGAGAACCGGGTTTGATTCCCCCACTCCTCCACTTGCAGCTGCTGGATGACCTTGGGCAAGCCGTAGTTCTGTCAGAGCTGTCCTTGAAAAAGAGCCGTTTCTGTCAGAGCTCTCTCAGCCCCGCCTACCTCACAGGGTGTCTGTTTTTTTTTTTTGGTAAACAAAGTTTTATTATTTTTCAGTTGTAGGTAATCAATATTTAGCCAATAGTTCTTTAAAAACAAAAATACATAAGAAAATTGTTCCCCCTACAGTCTATACTCCTTCCCCCCTCCTGTGGCTTCCCGCAATGCTTTCACCCCTTTCCCCACCTTTTTATATATTTCCATAATTAACGATATCATATTTCTTATCTCTTTAAAAGATAACATCTTTTAGCTTAATATTGTTCTAAACACAGTAAACTTTTTTTCACATCCCAGTTCTTTTCCAGATAGTTCTTAAAGTCCTTCCATTCTTCAAAAAATTCTTCATCTTCTTTGATGTTCAATTTCTTCGTAATTTTGTCCATTTCTGCCATGAACAGAACTTTTTGTATCCAGTCCTCAATCTCTGGTACTTTCTCAAGTTTCCAATATTGTGCATAAAGCATTCTTGCTGTCGTTATTAAGTACCAGAATAAGGGTTTTTTTTCCACATTGACTTCTTCCATTTTTAGTCCCAAAAGCAGAATTTCCGGCGCTTTTTTGAAAGAGCATTGTAGTATTTTCTGCATTTCGCTGTGGATTTTTATCCAAAAATCCACAGCTTTTTCACAAGTCCACCACAGGGTGTCTGTTGTGGGGAGGGGAAGGGAAAGGAGTTTGTGAGCCGCTCTGAGACTCCTTTGGGTAGTGAAGGGCAGGGTAGAAATCCAATCTCTTCTCCTTCTTCTTTTACCTCACAGGGTGTCTGTGGTGGGGAGGGGAAAAGGAAGGATTTTGTAAGCCGCTCTGAGACTCCTTCGGGTAGTGAAGGGCAGGGTATAAATCCAATCTCTTCTTCTTGTGTCGGGACACCATTTTTAGAGAGGGCCGTAGTTGAGGGCACTGTGTGTTGTGCCCATAATCTTGTTCTTGCTGTGTTGTGTTCTAATTTTTGTAATTAGGGTTGCCAAGGTAGGGATGCCGGCCTCCAGGTGGGGCCCGGGGACGGCCCAGAATGATAGCTCAGCTCAAGACTACAGAGATCCGTTCCCCTGGAGAAGATGGCTGCTTTGGAGGGTGGACTCTGTGGCATTGCACCGGAGGTCCCTGCCCTCCCCAAGCTCCACCCCCAAACCTCCAGGAATTTCCCAGCCTGGATCTGGCAACCCGACCTGGCGGCCGGATATCTCCTGGGTTTTTGCATGATCTCCACGTTCTGATCCCATGGAAAACTTGAGAGAGCCAGTTTGGTGTCATGGTTAAGTGCGGGGACTCTAATCTGGGAGAACCGGGTTCAATTCCCCCACTCCTCCACATGCAGCTGCTGGTGTGACCTTGGGTCAGTCACAAGTTCCCGCAGTTCTCTCAGCCCCACCCACCTCACAGGGTGTCTGTTGTGGGGAGGGAAAGGAGTTTGCAAGCCACTCTGAGACTCCAAGTGAAGGGCAGGGTATAAAGCCAATCTCTTCTTCTCCTTCTTCTTTACAACTGATCTCCAGGCAACAGAGATCAGTTCACTTGGAGAAAATGGCAATTTTGGAAGGTGGACTCTGCGGCATGATACCCCACTGAAGTCCCTCCCCTCCTCAAACCCCGCCCCCCCCAATCTCCAGGTATTTCCCAACGCAGAGCTTCCAACCTTACTTGTAATCTAGTTTTTCCACGGCTTTTATGTCATGCCTCATACTGTTATTATGCACTGTTTTCTTATTGTATGGTTTATACGTATATGTATGCATTAATTCTGGGATCCACCTTGAACCTCAGCGAGAAAGGCAGCCGATCAGTCAGTCAGTCAATCATGGTCGGATGTTCAACTTGGACCAGGAAAAACTGGGTTCAAATCCTTGCACTGTGGTAAATCTCAGTAGGTGACCTTGGGAGAGTCAGTTTGGTGTCGTGGTTAGCAGCGTGGACTCTAAAGCTGGGAGAACTGGGTTTGATTCCCCATGCCTCCACTTGCAGCTGCTGGTGTAACCTTGGGTCAGTCACAAGTTCTCTTGCGGTTCCCTCAAGGACAGTTCTGGAAAGAGCTCTCTCAGCCCCGCCTACCTCACAGGGTGTCTGTTGTGGGGAGGGGAAGGGAAAGGAGATTGTAAGCCGCTCTGAGACTCCTTCGGGTAGTGAAGGGCGGGGTATAAATCCAGTATCATCGTCTTCATCATCATCTGGCAGCCACACTTTCTTAGCCTGTCCTACCTCACAGGGTTATTGTGGCAATAAAGCAGAGGGGAGCTATGTATTTTGAAAAGAGCTTGTTGAAGGAAGGAGAACAGGAGATTGGATTTCTACCCCGCCCTTCACTACCGGCCAATTCCTTCAATACCAGCCGATTCCTAACAGGTAACGTCAACCGAATCCCATTGAACTTACCTGCTTTTGCCTCAGCCGGGATAAAAAGGAATACCAATTCCCGCAATCACATTTGAGCATCCCCCTCTTTTGGGCTGGGATCAAGAGTGCAGCTTTTGTTATCCGCACAAGGACCGCCCAGCTGCCGCCAGACACCACTGGATACTGTACGAGAGCAGTCGTCCACCTCTCAGACGTTCTTGTCCACATAGGAAAATCCCATTTTGTAAACCACCACTTCAGTCCGAGTGTGTAATACCCAACAGTGTGTCAACACAAGTGATGCTGTGACTATTAAAGATGAACCCATATGTCCCCCAGAGAGCACTGCGGTCAGGGTTGCAAAATCGCCAGACTCTCCCTGGTCCAAAAGACGTCAGATTGGCCATCACTAGAGTTAGGGCCTTTTCAGTGTCGGCTCCACTCTGGTGGAATGAGCTCCCGGGAGATGTCAGGGCCCTGCGGGACCTTTTACAGTTCCGCGGGGCCTGCAAAATGGAGCTCTTCCACCAGGCTTTCAACTAGGAGCTCCCACTGTCAAATGAGTCATCAGAAACTGAACATGCAATGGCCCTTACGTTACAACGCTGGAAACTGCCTTCGGACTACTTTATAGGTTACAACGCTGGATATTGCCTTCCTTCATCGGACCACTTCATAGGAACCGCCATCTGTATGTACTAAAGGTAAAAGGTAAAGGTCTCCCTTGCTCGAAAGCCAGTCGAGTCCGACTCTAGGGTTGCAGTACTCATCTCCATTTCAAAGCCGAAGAGCCAGCGCTGTCCGAAGACGTTTCCGTGGTCATGTGGCCGGCATGACTAAACACCAGGGTGCACAGAACGCTGTTACCTTCCCACCGAAGTGGTACCTATTTATCTACTTGCAATTTCTTGCTTTCGAACTGCTAGGTTGGCAGGAGCTGGAACTAGAGACGGGAGCTCACTCCGTCACGTGGCACCTGGGTCTCGAACTGCTGAACTACCGACCTTCCACAGCCTGCAGTTCAGCGTCTTAACCACTTGAGCCACCGCACTGTATGTACTAGCACTATGTAATCTGTTGTTTATGTGAATTTTATTGCATTTTATTGGTTTGTTGCATTTTAACTGTTGTACGCCGCCTTGAGCCAGTTTGCCTGGCAAGGCGGGGTATAAATTGAAAGTAATAAATAGTAAATAACCACACGTGTGAAAGAAGATTAGGCTTTCATACCCCCCTTTTCTCTACTTTAAGAAGTCCCAAAGCAGCTCAGAATCACATTTCCTTCCTCTCCCCGCAACAGGCACCTTGTGAGTTAGGCGGGGCGGAGAGAGCTCTGAGAGAACGGTGACTGGCCCGAGGTCATCCAGCAGGGTTCGTGCAGAGGAGTGCGGAATCAAACCCAGTTCTCCGGATTAGAGTCCGCTGCTCTTAACCACTACACCACGCCGAAAGACCCACGCGTGGACAAATGCAGGCAGTGAGCTTTGAGAACACTCAAAATCGTCTTCAGTGGAGACCATTCACAAGTCACTGATGCAAGATGCAGTGACGGGGTCTTTCCGTGATACCCCTTTGCGTGCGAATCAAACCCTTCGAGTACCTGGAGAAGTTTAGGACACAGCAGTTGCCTCTGAACAGGGAGCATAAAGCAGCAGATGTTATTCTCGGTAGAAGCTTTGCCAGGGCCACCACAGGAAGTTGCCGTCCCTCACTTCCTGCCACCACAGGAAGTTGCCGCCCCTCACTTCCTGTCATCTCACCCTCACTCCGTTTCTCCATTTTGAAAATAGCAATGACACGAAGAACTGTTTGGGTTGGCATCAGGCCCGTAGCTACCGCAGGGCCCACGGGGCCCGCCCCCCTCCTGGCGGTTTTTACGGGCCCCTCTTTAAGACACCCCCCAGCAGTCCACCTTCCCCCCCACACCTCTGCCCAGCTGCGAGGCTGACTGTCCCGTTTTGTGGCATCACGGGCTGCTGCTGGAGGCTGGCCAAAGGCAATGGGCATGCAGCGCTCCTCTTGGGTGCCCCCAGCTCTGCAGCTGCAGCACAGAGAACCGGTGGTGGGGGGAGAGCTTCTACGTAGCTCCGAGAAGGGAGCTTGGCCCCTCCCCGACACTCCAAAAGGGGACCGTGGTGCACGCAGCCAGGCGAAAGCCAGGCGAAACCCAGGCAAGGCTTGTCTCCGGACTCCTGGGACGCAGACGTGTGCTGGGAGTCGCCGGGGGTTACACACAGTCTCAGGCACCCGGGGGGGGGGGTTTTTTCCGGGGGGGGGGGACCCGATTTGGACCGAGAGCGTGGGGCACCAGCAAAGAGGAGGGTTTCAGCTTGTCCAGCTGGAGCCATTTGAGGGCCTGGGGATGCCCCGGAGCCGTGACACAGAGACCAGCGTGGGCAAAGCCACCTCTGGACATCTCTTGCCTGGGAAGCTCCACCAGGGGGTCGCCCTAAGGCAACTGTGACTGGATGGCACTTTCCGCCACCAAAGGACCCCGCCTGCGTGTCCTTCTCGCCTGGAGGCCCTCGGTTGCAGCCGGGGCTGCCTTGGGAATTCCACCAACTGAATCAAAGTTAATTTAATTAACTCTAATTTAATTGAACATAAGAGACGCCAATGTTGGATCAGGCCAAAGGCCCATCCAGTCCAACACTGTGTCACACAGTGGCCAAAAATACCAGGTGCCATCAGGAGGTCCAGCAGTGGGGCCAGGACATTAGAAGCCCTCCCACTGTTGACCCCCCCCCAAGCACCAAGAAGACAGAGCATCACTTGCCCCAGAGTCCCTATCTATACCTTGTGGCTAATAGCCACTGATGGACCTCTGCTCCATATGCTTATCTAATTCCTTTTTGAAGCCGTCCATGCTTATAGCCGCCACCACTTCCTGTGGCAGTGAATTCCATGTGTTAATCACTCTTTGATTAACACAATCTGTGCGAGACAAGATTGGCTGGTGCCCCCCCAGCCCCCTCAGCTACGGGGCTGGTTGGCGTCTATCCTTAGAGTTAGGGGGGGGCCCTCCCCACTTTCTGGAAGTTTCTGTGATGTGGACAGGCTTACGGGTACACCCTAGCAACCAATTTCCCGTATCCAGATATATATATATATTTAGAAGAAGTCACGACACCTCACAAGAGCTTCACAACATACATATTTAAATAAGGTCAGCTAACAATTGCCGCACCAAGGAGGGGAGCGGAGAACACAAGAGGGTTCTTTCACCCACTGGCATGTCCCTGTGTCCCGAACGGTCGTTGGCTGGCCCAGCCAGAAGGCGGCATTTCCGATCGCCGGCTTCCTCCTTGCGGATATGTACACTCCCCCGCCCCAAAGACGCAAGGAAAAGGACCAGAAAAAAGGGGATCTATTTACAAAAAACAAAACCCAGCCCAGCTTCGGTTTCCAGAGAGGCACCAGGCCACTCTCAGGAAGTCCGCTACGGTAACGGTTTCGGTAGGGGAGGAGTCCGATCCACGCCTGCTGTTGCACCAAGGAAGAGTGTGGCGTTCCTGAGCCCGCCGCTTCCTGCCCTTCAGTCGAGACGTAGCTTCACATCTCTGTGGTCCATGGGCGTGACAACTTCATTGGCATAGCCGTTCTCCGAGCACAGCGACAGCTCGTCCGTCGTCTCCACTCCGTTGTTGATTTCTGAAAGGGAAGGAAAGAGAGAGAGGCCGATGTAGTGCAGCCAGCAAGGAGAGAAACGCCGACCATGAAATAAAAGGAAGAACGCGTCGTGCCTGTAAGAGTTTAAGATAACACTGACCCCTGTCGGCACATGGAGGATGTACACGAATCACCGCCCATAAGCAGGGATTGCACATCTTGCCCAGGGAATGTGCAGAATGACCTGGGTTTCACACATTGCTGATTCACTTTGCATAGTTTCCATGTGCAGATCGAGCAAGGGAAGGGCAAAAACCCTGTCCTATGCTGTTCATCTGCATGTGCTGTCCGCCTTGACCGCCAGCTAGCATTCATGGACATTCCCCATCCCAACGGCATTCACCTCTGTGGTGTCACTTGTTGGGGTGTGGGGTGCAGGGTTCACGCGATGCAAAGACGACAGGACACAAGTCTGCAGGAAGCTGTCTGAATGAATGAATGAATGAATGAATCGCCTCTCACTCTCCAGCTGTATTTATTGAAAATCTCTTCCTCCGTCCCCTCCTTTCTTTCATACATTACATCATCCTATTCATGAGACATGAACTAAGGAATGTGTGTGTGCAGGCAAGTTCTCTGTTATCAGTTCCTCCCCCTCTCTCTCATGGCCACACCGACTGCGTCAGTGAGCAGTAAACAGATTCCATCTTGGGCTCTCATTACGTATAAGTATTTCAGTTCCCAATTTCCAGGCAGGAGAATCCATCTGCACTGCTTTCCTACACACCTCGATGTGCACAAGCTTGAATATTAAAATCCCCGGCGCACCAGCGCAGCTGAATTCTGCTGACCCAAATGTGCCACGCCCAGATGCACCCCCAAGTGAAAGGAAAATAATACTGTCAATTACCAGCGCTCTTGGGGATCTCAAGAGCTCTTCCCCAGCCCGCTGGAAACAAGACAGAATTCCAGAAATCGGGGATTGGATAAGGAAATTACTGTTTATGGTTGAAATGGACAAAATGACAAGGAAACTTAAGAATCTGGAAGCAGAAGAATTCTATGCAGACTGGAAAGATTTCAAAGATTACTTAGAGAAATATTGGGATGTAAAAGACAATTTGGTTTGCTTTGACAGTTATTGAAAAGTGTGTGTTATTAGAAGAAAGTTAATTATAAGAAAACAATAGGTGAAAGAAATGTTACCGTAAAAGATAAGGGAAAATAGAAGAAAACTTAAGAAATGGGCTGGAGGTTGGAGCACTGTGGGAAGCCAAGGGGGGGGAGAAAAATAGAAGAAAGGATGTATAACAAACTATTAATATAATTTGTATTTGACTTAATAATATATCCTAATAAATTGTTTTTTTTGGGGGGGAAAAGCTCTTCCCCAGCCCGATACCCTTGAAGGTATCAATGACAAGCACTGAAGACTATTTAAAAAACCGAGCTACTTGAAAGACCTTTCGTTCCCTCATTACAGAAGACCATTTTGGGCTCGCTGGATTAAATTCTTTTCCTTCGGCCATACCGGAAGGCTGATTAGCAGGAACAGAATCTGATCTGATATGACAGAAAGACATTTCTCCTTCCTCTTAAGAGGTTATGTGGATTTATCACCTAAAAAAAAATGTCCAGTTTTTCCTTTCAGATGAATATCGGAAAATTATCTTTGCAGTCACTAAATATTTAGCTCCGGTGACTGCCTGTGAGAGGGCTGGATCTCATGCTGTTCATGGGCTATGAGTCAGAAGAATAGGAAGATAAAAAGAATAAAAAGAAAGACGAGACCCATTGCATGCTGGGTATGCATTCTGCCACTGAGCCCCACGACTTGTTTAGAATATTGTAAGCTGATGGAAGAAAGGAGGGGGGGAATCCAGTGAAGGACGGCCAACAGCAGATCCCTAAAAACACCCAACAAAATATATTTATTATGGACTTAATTTATGCCGTGCCTTTTCTCCCCAGCAGGGATTCAAAAGTGAATAGTCCAACTGTGGCGACAAAAGGACTAGTTAACAGAGAGAGGGATTAAAATGTGGAATTCGCTGCCAGAGGATGTAGTGATGGCCACAGGAATAAACAGCTTTAAAGGGGGATTAGAGACATTCATGGAGGATAAGTCGTATCAGCGGCTACTAGCCATGGAGACTGAGGGGAACCTCATATTCAGAAGCAGTCAACCTCTGAATCCCTGAGTCAGGAGGCAACATCAGGGGAAGGCCTCTGCCTCTCTGTCCGGTTTTGGCCCTCCAGAGGAACTGGCTGTCCCCTGTGTGAGACAGGAGGCTGGACTGGATGGACCCTCACTGGTCTGATCCAGCAGGGCTCTTCTGAGGTTCTTATCAGGGGGAGGCCTCGGCCTCTCTGCCCTGTTGTTGGCCCTGCAGAGGAACTGGTTGGCCACTGTGTGAGGCGGGATGCTGCACTAGATGGACCCTCACTGGTCTGATCCAGCAGGGCTATTCTGAGGTTCTTATCAGGTCTGATCCAGCAGGGCTATTCTGAAGTTCTTATCAGGGGAAGCCCTCGGCCTCTATGCCCTATTGCCTGAGGCAAGATGCTGGACTAGATGGACCATTGATCTAATCCAGCGGGGTTCGTCTTATGTCCTTACGCCCTCCAGAGGACCAGCTGAGCTCTGAGCAGGAGCAGGAGAGAGAGCTGTGAGAGAGGTGAGTGGGTTTCTTTTACTTGCTTTCAGCTGAGAGAATTCAGCTAAGGATATTTTGTGGGAAAACTGTGTTTAGCAGTGTGTGGAAGCACTTAGAGTTCTTGCAGAGTCCTGGCTGATTGAGTGTGGGAGAGGAACGGGCATTGTTTGACTGGGATTGCCTGTAATTGAGAGGAAGTGGAAGGGGCATTGTTTTGCCTGTGATTGAGTGCCTGGGTGAATTTGAATTTGAATAGCTGCTGCCTGACCTCTGCTGGGGGAGGCCTCTATTTAAGGAAGCACCTTGGCAGAGGCACGAGCCTCTGGCACGAGCCGAAGGGTGAGCTAAAGGGCTCTTTGCCTGTGGCTCTTAGCCTAGGGACTCTTAGACTAGGGGCGCTGTAAGAAGCCCAAAAAGAGCCAGAAAGACAAGGCCCTAGGCTCTTTGTCTTTCCCGTAAAATAATTTGACTTGATAACAAAACCCACATAAATACCAAGGGTTTAAAAGGGGGATTATATTTATTTATTTTAAAAGAATTATGAAGCCAGAATGCCAGCAGGGGGTTGGGGGCTATCCAGTGTTTTGCACGGAGTGTCACATGTATGACTATCTGCCCACTGGGCAGAAGTCTTGGGTGTGTCCTCGGTGCAAGGAGCTCCTGGTTCTCAGGGAACGTGTGTGCTCCCTTGAGGCCAAGGTGGCTGACCTGGAGAAGCAGAGACAGTCAGCTAGGCACACAGAAAAGACTCTCGGGGACTTGTTAGCTTCGTCCCACTCTGGATCTGGCAGCCCCGCTGCTGTCAGGGAGCATGAGGGTCTAGGGGAAACAGGGCACCATGCTGAGGATAAGGGGAATGTGCCCTCAGAAGGGACCTCTTCCCCAGCTGGTGAGCGGCTCTCCTTTTGCACCAAGGAACCATCCCTGAGCAGGGTGGGAGGGGGGCTCTTGGTAGTGGGTGATTCGATCCTTAGGCAGGTAGACAGCTGGGTGGCGAACCCGCGTACTGACCGTATGGTGACTTGCCTGCCTGGTGCGAAGGTAGCGGACATTACGCGTGTTTTAGATAGGCTGGTAGATAGTGCTGGGGAGGAGCCAGTGGTCGTGGTGCATGTCGGCACCAACGATGTGGGGAAATGCAGTCGTGAGGTCCTGGAGGAGAAATTTAGGCTGCTGGGCAGGAAACTTAGGTCCAGGACCTCCAAGGTAGCCTTCTCAGAAGTGTTACCTGTTCCACGCGCAGGGCCGGAGAGACAGGCAGAGATCAGGAGTCTCAATGCGTGGATGAGACGATGGTGTAGGGGGGAAGGGTTCAGGTTTGTTAGGCACTGGGATACTTTTTGGAACAAGAGGGAGCTGTACAGGCGAGACGGTCTCCACTTGTCCCGAGAAGGAACCAGGCTGCTGGCACTTAAAATCAAAAAGGTGGCAGAGCAGCTTTTAAACTGAATATTGGGGGAAAGCCGACAGGAGATGAAAAGTCTCTGGTTCGGGTTGGCTCATCTGAGAGAGGTGAGGGGGTACCGGTTGCTTTTCTACAGGGAGGTGGATTGAAATTGTCCACAGAGGCCATGGCTGGTGACATGGACTGCCGGACAACGACTCGAGATAGCAAGAGGAAGGATGCAGGCTTAACTTGTAAGGGAAATTACAGCTGTTTCTATACAAATGCTAGAAGTGTCCGAGGTAAAATCGGGGAGTTGGAGTGCTTGGTGTCGGAGGGAAAAATAGACATTGTGGGTATTTCTGAAACTTGGTGGGATGAGGAAAATCAGTGGGACACAGTGATTCCCGGTTATATATTATATCGGAAGGATAGGGGGGGAAGGGTTGGAGGTGGGGTAGCTCTGTATGTCAGAGAGGGTATAAAGTCTAGAAAGATTGAGAGGCTAAGTGAATTGGATTCGCTTCTGGAAGTTCTATGGGTTGAAATAGGGGGGCCAAAAGGAAACTTAACACTGGGAGTTTGTTATCGCCCACCAGATCAAAAGATAGAGGAGGATTATAAAATGATGAATGCCTTAAAGATAGCAACTAGACAAAAACACTGTGTAATAATAGGTGATTTTAACTACCCACACATTGATTGGGTCAATATGTGTTCTAGTCGGGAAAAAGAGATTGAGTTTCTAGACACTCTAAATGACTGTGCTATGGAGCAGATGGTCACGGAACCTACCAGGGGAGAGGCGATCCTTGATTTGGTCCTAAGTAACACTCAAGACCTGGTGAGAGATGTAAAAGTGATTGCACCGCTTGGAAACAGTGATCATAATGTTGTTGAGTTCATCATTTGTACAAATAGAGAATTGGCCAAAAAGACTCACACAACCATTTTTAACTTTAAAAGGGGTAATTTCTCTGATATGAGGGGACACGTGGGGA